CCCCCCCCCCATGCCCTTCTTGTCGTAACATATTTGAGAAGTCCTGCTTTCTTCTGATAGTGAATGGGAAAATTCCAAAATCTTAACAATGGTTAAATGTGAGAATATTTTACTTGTTAGACATTTCACACCTACTCCTCACGTACTCAAGATAGCTCATTGAATCATGTTCTGCACACGAATTCTTTAAGTATAGATCATTTGGATTTTCCCACTGTTACTGAAAAATAGAGCTTTCCTTCACAAGATAAAGAAAAATTAAATTCTTCAGATGTTCCTTAGATCATCCTTGAAACAGAGAAAGAATTTCTCTTCAAGAAACATTTCAGTCATGCTGAGAAACTGTTTCACTTTATTAAAAATACGAAATTATTAAGATGGGTTTAGTACCATACACTAAAAGTATTTTACCTAAAGTAAAATTACTTCTCTTTTCATTTGCCACTAACGAAAAAAAAAAAAATCTTATTAAAATACAGTTATTAGAAACCTGAAAATGAAATGTACTTAATATTGAATTTTGTTTCTCAGCCACCTTCAGACAGCTCTGTTCAAGATAAATGTAACTTTTATGGATAGTTAGTACCAGATACACATTGATATTCTACCTTTAAAAAACACTTATATGTGGTTTCATGGGTTTTTTTGACACACGAACTCACCAGAGAATGGCAGCTCAGAAGCATGTGCTCAGAGCTCCAGTCTGTGTTCAGTTTATACACTCTAGGCACCACAAACAGTTATTTTGTTCAGGGTCAGAGAGTCATTGGGATGCTTAGCCAGTGAGGGTTTTTCACTAGAGATAGCTGCAAATAGCACAGAGGGGAAGAAAATCACATGAGTGCTCACCAGTAAGGAGGCAATACCAGTGTTTCCTTTTTTTACGTATTAATGTGGAAACAGGGAGCAAAACCAGCAAAGCTGCAATCTATTTATACTCCTAAATCCTTGCAGAGGGCAACCATCTCTTCACGTGTTGCACTTATCACTTTGTTGTTCCCTTTCGCAGTAGTTCCCTTTCCCTTACCACGATAAACACAGTCATTAACGCTGCATACCCGCAGTGCCTTTTCCCCATTAGAGAATTGCCCATGCTGGGGTGATCATCTTCAGGGATTCTGGCTGTAAACAAGGTCTTGAGTGCTGTTACTTGATAAAGCTGTGCACTATTCTTCTAAACATGGCCTTAGATTTCCATCCAAATATGGGGTTTGTTAATAAAAAGAAAAGAATGATAGAATTTGTGCTCCTTTAGGAAAGCCACGTATGACAGGGTTTTAAAAACAGGCTTAGATCTCAAAGGAGGGGCAACAAAAGAAGAGGAGAAATAATACTTTTCTGGTCTGGGTGTTGTGATGCAGGGTTATGGATGGAGAAGAAAGCTGTGCCACCAAACAGCAGTCAGAAGTGAGAAAACGAACATCTTGCCTCCTGTGCATGCAGAGGGATTTTCTCTTAACCCATATGCCCTGGTTCTACGAATCTGCTTTTAGGTTAAAGCGTAGGTGTGTCTGCTCAGGAGCAGCTCTTTGAAGAAGCTGTAGGTGTAGCATGTCTGTCATTAATCAGGCTGGAGATCACTCTCACAGTCATGGAAAATGAAATGAACATTTGGTGAAATGGGTGAAAAAACAAAGATTCATATTTCAGGTCTTCTTACCAAATGAACAGACACCTTTTGATATCAGCTTTCTTGTGGGCTTTTTTTGTTTGGGGTTTGTTGGGGTTTTTTTGTGTTTTTTTTTTTTTTCTCATTCTTAAATTAATTTATTGGATATTTAAAACCTATTATAGATAGTGATTACCATACACAAAAATATGATTAGATATATATATGTTTAGAAGATATATTAAAGATTAAAAAGGTAAGGACATAAGCAGACAAAACCCATAACGCTAGTTGCAATAGCTAACAATCCTGATAGTGAAATATCATATCATCACTCTAAATTATCAGCTATTAAGAATTAGTTGATCTACTACTATTTTGATGATGTGAGAATGGTGTAGAAAATTTAACAACTTCTTGCGTCTTATGCTTTTCCTTCCAACATATTTATAGCACTGATACTTTGCAGAGAATCACTGCTAGAGGTTTGGAAACTTGTAAGACTACTTTTTACATGCCAACAAAAGAGACATGTATTTCAAATTTAGTTGGAGCACACTGATCAAACTGTATGAAAATAATCATATAAGAAATCTCTTCAAGCTTTCTCTGTTCTACACAAATGTCAAGTCCCCAGGAAACAGCCCTATAACAAGAATTAACACTGAACACATTTACAGAGTAAACACTGCTCAGGCTAAGTAGCCTATTTCCACAAAAACCCACTTCCAGTTCGCAGAGCCTTGTGTAAGGGAAGACACACAAACTTGACAACTTCTACACTAAGAAGAGGAACTTGGGTGGGCTACAGATCACCACACCTCCTGGTCATTCCCACAGCAACAGTAAATGAAGGACTTCTACTTTGTCACTCCATGTGGCACATAACCACAACATGAATGTCATCTCCTATTTTGTTTCTTTCTCGGCTCTCAGTTGAACAAAATAGCTTTTTTCCTCTTTCTGTGTCCCCAAGTAGAGACACAGGTGTCTGTTCCCTGATGCCCATCTCCCTGAATGAGGTCTGACATTCCTTCTCTTCCATGCAGATGATCTAATTATTCCCACATGCTGCTGAAAGACATTGCAGTTTACATGCTCTGAGCTGTGTCTCGCAGTGCACACGCCGGACATCTGCTCTAGCTGATTCCTGACAGCCAGCACCAGTCTGCAGCATAGGGCAGCACTTAACTTGACATAGAAAGTACAATCTGCATCACCTTTAAATCTTTAAAGTAAATTTCCAGCATTCAAAACAGATGCAGTTTCTTCTACTATTTATGAGCAGGCGGTATATACATATCTCAAAGCACAATTCATCTTGTAATAAATTTTCAGCTTTTAGCGCACAATGACTGTTCAAAATAAATTTACAGAAAACCATCATGTTAATATTTTTAGCTTCCCAGTTAGAATACTATGCAGTATAAACTATCATCTGTTTACAAGAATGGAGTAGCTCAAAGATGTTGTATGTCAGGTAAATATCTTAGGAATACTGTAAGAGAAAAAAAAACCACATTTTTCCTTATTTTCCTTTAAAACATGAAAGCCTTGCAAACACACACTTATTCAAACCTTCATTTCAACTTAGTCATCATAATGCTTCACTCGCCAGATCTTTATATGCTCTGAACCTCCAGTGTCTATGCAGTTGTTTCTAAGGTAACAGATCAGGATGCCTTGTGAAAAAAAAAAATGAATCAGATCTTGAATATTCAAGACATCTCCAGTTGCAGAAATGAGAAAAGGGCAGTATCATCTCAACTGAGAGTTCTCAGTATCTTTTAGAGCTCGGTCTGATTTACAGACAAGAAAAATATAATCCACCCTAAGGCTGCAGTGTGAGAGTACAGTGGTGTATGCAGTTTCAGGCATGTAGACTGTCAGAAATTTTTAATCAGAGCCATAATTAAGGAATTACAGAGGCTGTTCTCAACAGAGTCTCGTTGCTTCATTGCAGGGCACACACACAGAGAATACAGATGAAGAAAATGTTTGGTAGGATTGTGCCTTCATTCCAACCACTTAAAGCTGCACAGAAATCTTCCTGTCAGACATGTAATGCAAAAATCAAAAAATATATTAAAAATGAACGTGAATCAGCATTATGAAAATACATGTATATAGTCCTTCCTCAAGGACCAAATATGCATTATTTCCATCAAAGAAAATAAATCGTTATCTTTCACAGGTGATTACCTGAGTCAATAATTTTCAGTGAATGGGATTATTGGCTTTTATTGAAGGTTGGGGGTTTTTTTATATAATTGTCCAGAACTACCTTTAGTTTCTTTCAAAGGCTGTTTTGCTTATTATCTGAGTCCAGAAATCATATAAACATACTAATGCAGGAAAGGTGCATAGCGAGAATATTAAGCAAAATATCATGTAAGGTTTTTAGAAAACTTCTATTACTACAAAAAATTAACTAAATTATTTGCTTAACAATATCTGACATATAGGTTTATTAATTTATGCATTCTGGAATATGCACAAGCAAACCCATCATCTGTGACAAAATAATCATAAGGTATTTTTCAAATGCCCTTCATAATGAGATCTAAAAAATCAAATTCCTAGAAAAGGATCAGGCTTGATAAAAACCTTCAGAGCTGCATTATTTTCCACATTGTGTAAGGGAAAAGTGAGACATAGCAGTCTGGTAGCTTGGGGATCAGGTAAAAGTTACGGTCATACTACTGGAAAGGTCATACCTAATCATGCCTGGTTTTCCATCTCTGAGTCCTGTGCTCTACCTACTGCACTACAAATCATTGTACACTAGAAATACTTGGAATAAAACCTGTTCTGAATATTTACATTGTTCAGTGAGTACTTTGCATGAAGAAAACATTAACAGTTTTGGGGACTTATTGTCATTTAACAAGCTGAAAGCAGGTGCATTTATTAGGGTCTTACGTTCTTGGAAAGATGTGAAGAGCATCTGGAATCGGCTGCTTCTACTGCCTTCATCTGCCCACATGCGGATTACACCAAGACCTGTCCGCAGCATTACATCATTAGCAACAGTGCTGCAAAATTTTGCTTTCAAATCCTCCACGGAGCTGCTTCCATCATAGACAGCTACAAAATTCCTTTTGCATTCATTGGAATTCTGCATCTCATAGTCCAAGAATCGCAAATAGATCTATGAAACAAACAACAAAGGCAACATGTACAGACATTCGAGAATGACTAAACAAACACTAAACACCTTTGCTCTACGCTGTGGGAGAAAGGCTGCACACCACCATCAGAATAATTTTTCTGGAGCTGGTGATCCATAGGCCACTTCTCTGGAAAGGCATTCATATGGAAAAGGAGCACTCTTTATACTTCCTGGTATTTTGTCTTGCTTCAGAGTAGAATCTAGTGGAAGATCTCAATATTTTTGTTCTTTGTAGTAAGGTCCTAATTTCCAAATATATACCCATCTTTGAAAAGTATGTACAACAGTCCTTCAAGCTGGAGGACAGAGAAGCTAGAAGTTTATTCTTTCACTGGTTGGCACAGTATTGCTCTATTACTTGCCTGACATGGAAAATAATAAGGCAAATAATTGCTGCTCCCTCCCCAGAGTCAATATGTGCCATCTTTGTGATATGTCTCAGCTACACCAATTCAGGAAGAATGAACTTGGAAGCCAAGCAGAACTCAATCTTTTTATGTTTCCTCAAGCAGTTTGGACACAACCCCATCTTTTCTAAACAAAGCCTTATGGTATATATCTTCATAATTTAACAGGGTTGAAATCAAGTGTATTTCATAGAAACATCCAGAAACTTAGAAAGTTTTTTAGGAAATGTCTCTTGCATACAAGCTAAGTTCTTTCACAAAAGTAATAGATGTGTTGCCCTTTGCAAAGAACTCTTAAATCTACGCAAAAAGAAGCAGGGGTGAGGAGAAAATACTGTTAATTTGATATTCAACTCTATATGGACTTTAATAGGGAAAACCACCCATTTTAACAACAGTTGATAATACAAGCAACTCAAATATTCCAGTAACAGATAAGGCAGGTAATTTTCAATAGATACATGATACATAATCAAACTGCCAAGTATACACAAGAGTCTTCAGGAAAATGATACAGAAAGGGGAAGTAGGTAAGAAATAACATAAAAAGCCAGCAAACATATCCAGCATCCAAATAGCCAAAAAGAAACTCCACTGTATTAGATATCAAATATACTTCTTTACATACAAACAATCTTATTAACTTCAGGTAGTTTTTTACATTCAATAGCTTAAAAATTGCTTTTTTTACATGCAGTTGCTTAAAAAGCTTCTCTGGATTTAAATAAAGTACACAAACATAGCATATCCTAGTAGCAACAGGACTCACCAACTCATTAATATATTAAAGCTCTTATAGTTTGAGAATTGTGTGCTATTAAGCAGTCAGTCCCTGTTTAATAATAGCTCAGATTTTTAAATGAACCTTTTCAGGTAGCATATTATGGTACATTTTCATTCCTTGTTATGTTTAGCAACTGGTCTCTCAGAAAAGACTATTTGTAAAGTAATTTTTACTAGCATATGAAATTTAGTATACTGTTTCATTTTACTTGCCTCACCTTTTTCTAGTATGTTATTTCTTACAGTAATCCTTACTTATGTTCCAACATTCCCATCCTCCAGAAGAACTCAGAGAAATATATTTCAATTAAATTGAAGTTAAGTGAATTCTTTCACCATGTATCCTGGTTTTTAAATATTATAAATTAAGTAAGTTTCTTCCACTGATCTCTACAAAATGGAATAGTTCAAAGCAGTACACAAAGCAATATTTAGATGTCAATATATTATATCAAGTAATACATTTTATAGTGTTTTTTATTTCATGTATGGGTTGCTCCACCCTTGCAGTGGAATGAAAAATTACTAGAGTTCAGTCACTGAACACTGCTGAAACTTTCTCACAGTATCCACCACTTGTTATAAACATGTTTTGAAATGTCTTGCCGCTTCCTCTCCTACTGGGTGACATGCAGTTTCCATTCTTGTTAAAACAGGTCACCTACTTCCTTGGAAAAGTCATATTTAAAGGCTTGTTTTGAATGATGAAGATTTGTTGAGTGCAGAAAATGCATTTCTGAAGTTCCTCTGCACTGGCTACACCCCTTTACAAGTCCCTCTCCTACTCAAGTCTCTTCCTCCCTTCCTTGGGTGCTCAGGCCCCCTTTACTCCTTCTCATGCTCCAAATCCTTGTTCTTGGTGGTCTCCAGCTATTTAAAACATGTTTGTCTTGATGATATCTGATTACTTTAGCCCCACAGGTAAGCCTCATCTTCAGTGTTGCTCTTTTCTGTTTATATAGCTTCAGCCAATTCCATGGCCACCAGGCAGATGCCTGACCTTTGCTGCCAGCTACTTCCTAGAAACTGTTAACACCTCTGAGAGTAAGTGTATGAAAATGTGCAGAAATTAACTGGAACCAAGCAAAAATGAGCAGCAAAAGGCCAGTGACAAGGCTGCAGACAAGAATTCTGGACCAGTCAGTGACTTGGACACAACCACGCAGAACTGGGATGGGCAATGTGAGATGGGCTCTCACTCTTAACTCTCACGGTTTGATAAGACCCTCTAATATTAGTGGCTCCTGGGGTCCAGCTGGCACAGGCATGCTATTGTCCTGCCAGAGCAAGATTATGCAAGAGGGAGGGAAGAGGCAGTTCCATAATATTCACACCCAGCAACTGGTCATAGCTGGGACACACCAGAGAGCTGCTTCTGTGTCCTAGAGACCAACCACTCCTGCTCAGAGAAGAGTGTAACAGGGCACTGTGAAAGCCTGGCACCCAGCCTCTCCTGGGAAGCTGCTGAGGTAGCCCCTAGTCCATCTCTGCATATGTGCACCTTGCTTTTCTTTCCTCCCCTAACAGAAGCAGCTTGCTTCAGATGGTCAGCTTTGTCACAGGTAATGCAATGAAACCTTCTGCAGCTGATTATATGCAATATTGTATACACGTGACTTTTTTAAAAAGTGGAGCATGTCATAAATCTCATAAGAAAGCACAGCAGACTTCTAACATATTATTGTCATGAATCACTACTTTTATGCCATATAAGCCTATCATATGTATACCATCAATACGTTACAATATGTCATATATAGATATGATAGACCATACAGATATAATGCAATGTACATATATGACATTTTTATCTTACTCCACTCTTCAGGAAAGTTCTTACCTACTCCAGAAAAAAAATAGATCTTAGTCTGACTGCATAACAATAGGAAAATGTTACCTTAACTAACGGGGAAAGATCTCTTAGGCTTGTTCTCTATTTCTACCCTGCTGTCTTTTATATATATATATATATATATATATATATATGTACATAAGTATGTGTGTATACATATATATAAGCACACATATATCTTGTATAGGGTATCCCATTTCAGTATTGAAATGTAATTTATATCAGTTTTCATTTTTACAAGAAATGTGTGCTAATCCTCACATCCTCACTGTGGTTATAAAACATCAGCTCTCAGCAATTTCCAGCATTCATCAATTATTCCTGATCTGTTCAAACAGATTGCTCATATAACAGTACAGCCACAGTCTTATTTCTATGGGCTTATCACTTGACAGTCTCTAGTCTCTGGTAGCATACTACCCATATAAAATAGTAAATATCTCTTAAAGTACCAGTTATAAATGCTGAGAAGGAATCAAGAGACAATAACTTATCAGTTCACTTTGAGTCTTCCAGTGAAGAAGCCAACACTTTCAGTTCTTCCTAGGCCTGAATTCTGCTGTCAGTCATACCAGTTCACTCGTGTGTGATAAATTCAGCTAAGATCATAACATATATAGACTTGATAGATACTGGAACTACTGGAAAAAAAATATTTGACTTAAAAATCTATCTCTATCCTTCAGAAGAAAGATGGCACCTTCTGCAATGGCATGGAATTTCATAAATTAGAGAAAATAAATTCCTGACTATTCTGAGGTGAGTTGGAGTTTCACTCTCATAGTCTTCTTTGGAGATGACTGTTCCCAGAACTTTATATATAAAGTAACGAGGACTTTATACAAAGCTCACTGAAATCAGTGGGTATCTTTCCATTTACTTATTTGGATCAGAACTATGGATTAAGACTGCAGTGCATTTTTAAAAACTGGAAACTGATTTCACAAACTGACAACCTGATATTGGATCAGATTTTATTTTAAAGAGCTGGAATAATTTAATTGCATCTGCACGCCTCTGCCAATTTTTATGGTTTTATTACTATATATTTGCCATTGTTCCTGTCACTGGCTGTAAGACCGACACTGGCAGAAGAAAATGACTAATAAATTCAATTCTCCAGGGAAAGAATAAAACTGATTCCGTGACAAACTGTTATCTAATGCTAAATGTACCTGATACATAGTTTGATGAAATCAGTGGCAATATTCTCATTACTTTCACTTGAATGTGGATCTCACTAAAAGAAATTAAGTAGAAAGTGAGAGAGAAATTATCAATATTTCTGGTTATTTCATTTACTGAGACCTTAGTCATTACTTCTATCAGCAGTGGATAAGAATTTTTCTCCCCTTCCCCCCAAAAAATGAACAAAAAAGAGGTGACAAACCCCGCCACCTGCCTTCATTAAACATTTTTTCATTGATGCCAACGGGAGCTTCTGGAATTATAACATTTCTGTAGATACTGACACATTATATTAGCATAATCGGGACATTCTTGTTGAAGAGAACATCTTATTTGAAAGAAGCAGCATAACTGCCATATCTTCTTCTTTCACATTTTTGTTGTAAAGTTTTAATAAGACACTTTCCTCAAATCATCAGTTCCATACTACTTAGAAGAACAGGCTGCTAGTGCACAAGTATTAGCTTTTACTGAGTTTCGAGATGTCACTGCAAATGCCAATGCCATTAACAACAAAACTGATAAAGCCTCACTACAACTGTGGTATATATAATTCACACTTGGTCACATATTTTAAATAATTGTCTTGTCACCTTTAAGATCTGTATTGTCATCATAATAATGAAAAGGAAATACTGGATAAGTTTTACTATTTTTTTAATTTAAATTTGAAAACAACAGAAATCTCTGACTGCATATATTAGGAAAAGAAGAATGATTGAAAACTATGAATAATATATCACCTCAGT